GATCGGCCGACCACTTCCCCTGGTCGGCCGACCAGTTCAAAAGGTTCAACCCAATAAAAGGTGGTCGGCAGCCCCATTTGATGGTCTCCACATTGAATGCAAGCTAGTGGTATGGCGGTAGACCAGTAAATATGGCTCAAAAACCAAGGAGACCAGCTTCCTGACAAGAAAATTGGCTGGCGGGAGAAAAGTGATCTCCAAGGAGAAAGGTGGTCTCCCACTCTTGTACCACCTCCCAAACAATGAAAACAAGGTCCATGCCAAAAATGAACCAAGACGGATGCAAGACGAGGGTTCGGGGGTCAAAACGTGCAGCCGGGTGCCCCGAAAATAGGCTGTTAAGCATCGAAAGTGGCGTGCGACCACAAAGGTGGTCTCCCGGGCCACAGTGTCCCTCTAGATAAAGGAAGCAAGGTGTGTGCCAAAAACCATGCCAAACAGAGAAAGTTAAGCGGTCCCGAACCTAGGCGCACGGCCGGCGGCTCCGAAAACTGAAAACTGGTCTTCAAACGGGAAAAGTGGCCTACGGCCATTGAGAGATGGTCTACGAGACCTCTCTCTCCCTTCGGGAAGAGAAAACAAGGCCTGGTTCACAAATCGAGGCAAAGCACAAAAGGGTCTCGAGGTCCGGGGGTAAGGCTCTCAGCCGAAACTCCGAAACCTCAGAACGAGCACAACATGCACCGTCACCAAGCGCTCAATCGATGACGTCTGAGTCTTAAGGTCGGTCAAAAATGGGGTGTCTACATATAATCATCGTATAGCAAAGCCAATTTAAAAGTAGCTTGTACAAAATATCTTTACAAAGACATTACTCACAGTGTTTGGCTGGATGATACTCCTTGTGCAAGTGACCTACTCAACACATTCAATTCTAACATCTCAAAAATCGTTCAATTCATTAAGTCGATTTTCAACCCATTCAGTTCATTCGTTACTTATTCATTCGGTTATTCCTATTCTTTCCTTAATTCCTTTCATGGTCATGACATGTATATAAACTTGAAATACATGTGAAAACCATGCAAATGGAGGCCCAAAAGTTGGCAAAAAGGAAGGAAAACAAAACTGAGACTGCCTTGCCAACCACACGTGCGGTGGCTCTGGTCGCACGTGCAGAGCCAAAGCAAAATGCATTTTCAGACAGGGGAGGCTGGTTGCATGTGTGGGGCCTTAGGTCGCACGTGTGGTCTGGGTTCATCTTTAATCCGAATTTTCGCTTAATTTTTGGTACTCATTTTTTGGTAATTTAAACTTCAATTTCATGCATTTTAACTCCAAAATCTATGGAGTTTCCTCCTCCAATTTAAGGAATCAAGCCAGAATTCAAATGTGTGAACAAGAATTCCATGAAATGAAGCCATGCATGTCATGTTCTTGAGCTAATTCATCAAAATTCTTCCTTATCTTGTCTCTTTCTCTCTCTCTCTATATATATTTGTACGGGGGTGAAATATCCTCTGCTTTTCGTACTCCTTGTGCTCCAAGCTTCTCTTGACGGCGTCTACCTGGTAATACAGAAACGGTGAGCTGCCCGACGGTGGTGTGCAGGATAGACCCTCCGACGATCAAGTCAGTCCACTTGAGGAAGGAGAAGACAGATAGAGAGAACGTATTTTCTTTCTGGGGGAGAAGTTGCATACCTTTAACGTTCGTCTTCCACCATATTTCTAGGCTGGCCATGCAACCTCAAGATTACGCGCGCACTACCTCTGCTGTCCTTCCCTGGACAGGTGGCAGTGCTCGCCTCCCACCACTTTACGCGTGTAAAGGCTTAGTCCTTCTACCAGTACACGCAGAACTGTCTAACGGTATTGAGGCATGCGTGGAGCAGATGTCCTCTCCCTCGTGCCATTGGCCCAGGTGGCACACCTGACCGCAGTACCACGACCGGCCTATCTCCTATGAAGAACTATCACTACAGGCACCCAACCGTGCTATGCCCCACCGGACTGCCCGTTGGCAAAGGGGCAGAGGGGTGATGCTCATGGGCCAGGCTGGTGTTGACCGGTTTATCGTGGCACACCGGTCGCGAGGCATGCCGGTCTCCATCCGTTCTACCTTCATCCGAGGTTATCTGGAATCTACCCATCTCGGCTAACCGGTCAGAGACGTGCCATCCCTCACTTGTCCATAGTTTAGCCCGAGCTACCCGCAGCCCGGTCTCGCCACTTGGCTGTGTGCCCTGCCGAATGTTTGCTAGTCGCAGCTCGGCCAGGCTTAGTTCACGCCCGGTCAGCCGATCTTTTCGACCGAGCAAAACAGACCCACCGGCCCTCTCAATAGAGGAAATAGCACGGCGCCGTGAGGTCAGTCACAACCCGCCCTATCTTAGCTCGGCCATACTAACGGCGCAAATCTCCCCTCTCAATCACCTTCTAACCCTTCCCTTTAATCTGGCGTTTCAGCAGCTCCATCTCCGCCGCCATCTTGCGAATGA